AAATGGGCGTTCCTCACACGATTCTGTTTCCTGTCCGATGACGGTACGTTTTCCTTCGACGTGGAGTACGACATCGAGTACGCCATGGAGAAGATCCTGCTGTACTACGACTCGCCTCACCAGTGGCCCGCCGTGTACAAGAGCGACAAGGTGGGCGTGAGTCGTTGCTTGCTTGCTTACTTACTTACTTGATTGCTTATTAACTTATGTTGTCGGTGTTTTTTTTTTTTTTTTTTTTTTTTTTTTTTACAATGGCATTAAAACAACAACGATACTGATATGATTATTACTTTTACTGTTACTACCAGTACTGCTGATGATATAATAATGATAATAACAGTGATAAAACAGTAATGATAACAACGATAATAATAATGATGATGATGGTATTAATATTAATAGTAATAGTAATAATAATAATAACAACAACAATAATGATAATAATAATAATAATAATAATCATATGCGCTTTCATTGTTTACAATGAATTAGATGTCAATGAATTAGAGTCGATTTCAAATCTTATCAAAATTATTTTAAGGGTTGGCTCTAAAGTTACGTTACAGAAAACTTCGTTTTTCTTAGCTTAATTACCGTCGCCTCTTACCATAAGTATTTAATTAAATTATTTTCCTATCCTAAATTTCTCCCTTTTCAAGTATTCCACCTTTTCATCCACGCAGAACGGCCTCTCGATAGGGTTACTCCCCCCCCCCCCCGCCAATACACAATATTGTCTCCTTTAACAACCCAGCATCTTTTTTTCTCTTATGGAACTATATCCTCAAGCAGTTATCCCCCAATTACCCCCTTCTTTCCATATATGCATTTCCCAATTTCTCCAATGTCATTATTGTTCTTCATTTCTTATATGGAGCTTTCTCCCCATTCAGTTATTCCATCTTTACCCCCATACGGAGTTGCTTCATGCGATGAATCTCATTTTCCCTTTCTCTTTTCTTCTTTTGTTAGGTTTTAGACTTTTCATTTTCCTCTAAAGAGAGCTGTATGCATACACAGCTATTCCTCCTTTTCTCCTGTACATAATTACCTCCCCATTTTTCCCGTCGTTTACCTCACACAGAGTCGTCTCTCCTTACAATCATTTCCCCTTTTCCCCCACACATAACTACCTCCCCTTACAATCATTCCCCCTTTTCCCCCCACACAAAATTTCCTCTCTGTACACTTCTCCATCTTGTCCACAGAACCATATAATTATTCCCCCTTTCCCCCCACAAAAAGATTTCTTACCGTACAGATACCTCCATTTTTTACACACAAAGCTACCTCCCCATATGATTATTTCCCCTTTTCCCCCACACAAAGATTTCTTACCGTACAGTTACCTCCATTTGCTCCACACAAAGCTCCCTTCCCATACAATTATTCCCCCTTTTCCCCCACAAAAAGAATTCTTACCGTACAGTTACCTCCATTTTCTCCACACAAACCTCCCTTCCCATATGATTATTCCCTCTTTTCCCCCACAAAAAAAGATTCTTACCGTACAGTTACCTCCATTTTCTCCACACAAACCTCCCTTCCCATATGATTATTCCCCTTTTCCCCCACAAAAAGAAAATCTTACCGTACAGTTACCTCCATTTTCTCCACACAAACCTCCCTTCCCCTATGATTATTTCCCCTTTTCCCCCACAAAAAGAAAATCTTACCGTACAGTTACCTCCATTTTCTCCACACAAACCTCCCTTCCCCTATGATTATTTCCCCTTTTCCCCCACAAAAAAAAAATCTTACCGTACAGTTACCTCCATTTTCTCCACACAAACCTCCCTTCCCATATGATTATTTCCCCTTTTCCCCCACAAAAAGAAAATCTTACCGTACAGTTATCTCCATTTTCTCCACACAAACCTCCCTTCCCCTATGATTATTTCCCCTTTTCCCCCACAAAAAGATTTCTTACCCCCACACAAAGATTTCTTACCGTTACAGTTACCTCCATTTTCTCCACACAAAGCTCCCTTCCCATACAATTATTCCCCCTTTTCCCCCACAAAAAGATTTCTTACCGTACAGATACCTCCATTTTTTTACACACAAAGCTACCTCCCCATATGATTATTTCCCCTTTTCCCCCACACAAAGATTTCTTACCGTACAGTAATCTCCATTTTCTCCACACAAACCTCCCTTCCCCTATGATTATTTCCCCTTTTCCCCCACACAAAGATTTCTTACCGTACAGTTACCTCCATTTTCTCCACACAAACCTCCCTTCCCCTATGATTATTTCCCCTTTTCCCCCACAAAAAGATTTCTTACCGTACAGTTACCTCCATTTTCTCCACACAAACCTCCCTTCCCCTATGATTATTTCCCCTTTTCCCCCACAAAAAAGATTTCTTACCGTACAGTTACCTCCATTTTCTCCACACAAACCTCCCTTCCCCTATGATTATTTCCCCTTTTCCCCCACAAAAAGATTTCTTATCGTACAGTTACCTCCATTTTTTACACGCAAACCTCCCTTCCCATATGATTATTTCCCCTTTTCCCCCACACAAAGATTTCATACCGTACAGTTACCTCCATTTTCTCCACACAAAGCTCCCTTCCCATATGATTATTTCCCCTTTTCCCCCACAAAAAGATTTCTTACCGTACAGTTACCTCCATTAAATACACACAAAGCTCCCTTCCCATATGATTATTCCCCCTTTTCCCCCACACAAAGATTTCTTACCGTACAGATACCTACATTTTTCTCCACACAAACCTCCCTTCCCATATGATTATTTCCCCTTTTCCCCCACACAAAGATTTCATACCGTACAGTTACCTCCATTTTCTCCACACAAACCTCCCTTCCCCTATGATTATTTCCCCTTTTCCCCCACAAAAAGATTTCTTACGTACAGTTACCTCCATTTTTACACACAAAACCTCCCTTCCCATATGATTATTTCCCCTTTTCCCCCACACAAAAGAGTACCAAGTGACGTTAGCGCGTGTAGGGGGAAAAGGGGTAGGGGGGGTAGAGTGTGTAGGGGGAAAGAGTGGTAGAGTAGAGTGGTAGGGGGAAAAGGGGTAGAGTGTGTAGGGGGAAAAGGGGTAGAGTGTGTAGGGGGAAAAGGGGTAGAGTGTGTAGGGGGAAAAGGGGTAGAGTGTGTAGGGGGAAAAGGGGTAGAGTGTGTGTAGGGGGAAAAGGGGTTAGAGTGTGTAGGGGGAAAAGGGGTAGAGTTGTGTAGGGGGAAAAAGGGGTAAGTGGTGTAGGGGGAAAAGGGGTAGAGTGTGTAGGGGGAAAAGGGGTAGAGTGTGTAGGGGGAAAAGGGGTAGAGTGTGTAAGGGGAAAGGGTAGAGTGTGTAGGGAAAAGGGTAGAGTGTGTAGGGGAAAAGGGGTAAAGTGTGTAGGGGGAAAAGAGTGGTAGGGGAAAAAGGGGTAGAGTGTGTAGGGGGAAAAGGGGTAGAGTGTGTAGGGGAAAAAGGCTGGATTCCGTGGGGGGGAAAAAAGGTTGATGTAGAGATGAGAATGGAAGAAGATAACACGGGAAAATGGTTGAGCATATGGAGGAAAATGTTGGGAGGTAAAGCGAGAATAAAGAAAGGCAATTTCAGGGAGAAATTAAAGGGAGTGTGTAGGAGAAAACGTTAAGATGTGAAGAAAAAATATTTTGCAGGTGATATAGGAGTTAGAAAGGGAAATGGGAGGAAAAGGAAGGGAAATACGCGGGTGAATAGCAACGGGAGATAAACGCATCGAAAAAAGATCCGTAAAGAGAAAGAGGAAATGGAGGAAGGAATAGAGTAACGTTGAGTCAATGGCGATACTGAAGAGAAAGATGTTATAGAAACAAAGGAACAATACGGGGAAAAAGGATAACATGTTAAGGAACGAAAGGAGGAGAAGAATTAAAAAGGGAATTGAACACTGAGAGAAAAGAAAAAACACTAGAATTAAAGAATAAAAAAAGAAGCAGAAACCTAATCCGAGGGAAATGAACTATATTTGCCAGATAAGTAAAGCTGCAAAGTAAAGAAAATGTCGAATGAGGAGAGGAATAAGTAAAAAAAAAAAAAAAATGGGGGAGAGTGAGCCACAGGAACGGGGAAGGAACGTAGGTGTGTACCTCGTAGGGGAGAAATAGGGAAAAAACAGGAGAATTGCGGGGTAATAAAGGAGAAAGGGGAAACATAGGGGAAGATAGAAAAGATAGAGGTATAGGGAAGGGGAGAAGGAGAGTCAGAGGGAGATGAATAGCGATAGGGAAGAGAGAGATAGCGAGTGGAAGTTGAAGAGGGAGAGCGAGCGAGAGAAGATGAGAAAGATGGAGAGAGCGAAAGAGAAAGAGAAAGAAGGAGAGGGATAGCGGGCGGGAGAAGATGAGGAAGAGGGAGAGAGAATGAGAAAGAGGGAGAGGGATAGCGAGTGGAAGATGAAGAGGGAGAGCAAGCGAGAGAGGAAGAGAAAGAGGGAGAGGGATAGCGGGTGGGAGAAGATGAGGAAGAGGGAGAGGGATATTGAGCGGGAGAAGATGAGGAAGAGGGAGAGAGAGCGAGAGAAAGAGAAAGAAGGAGAGGGATAGCGAGCGGGAGAAGATTAGAGAGGAGAGGAAGAGAGAGCGAGAGAAAGAGGGCGAGGGAGAGGGATAGCGAGCGGGAGAAGATGAGAAAGAGGGAGAATGCGAGAGAGAAAGAGAAAGAGGGAGAGGGATATTGAGCGGGAGAAGATGAGGAAGAGAGAGAGCGAGCGAGAGAAAGAGAAAGAGGGAGAGGGATATCGAGTGAGAGAAGATGAGGAAGAGGGAGAGAGAGCGAGAGAAAAAAGTGAAACAGCGAGAGGGATAGCGAGTGGAAGATGAAGAGGGAGAGGGAGAGGCATTTATAGCGGGAGAAGATTAGAGAGGAGAGGGAGAGAGAGCAAGAGAAAGAGAAAGAGGGAGAGGGATAGCGAGCTAGAGAAGAGGGAGAGGAAGAGAGGGAGAGGTTCTTTGTTAACAATTCAGAACAAAAGAACAGGCAGTGGAGAGGAGACAGGGAAGAATGGAGAACAGTTCTAGTTGCTCTTTTACAGTACTGCATAATACACGACACAATAACGCCAAGCGCCATGTTTTTGTTTTTTTCTGTGTACGATTTATTCATTTTTCATATAAAATGACACTCCTACTGACACTTACGTTCATTCGTTTGAATTTGCTCCTATTACTTAATTTATTCTTTCTATTTCCTACGTCATTTTGTTTTAGATATTACAAAATAAATAAATAAAATAAAATAATACATATAAAGAAAAAAATTGTTTTAGATATTACAAAATAAATAAATAAAATAAAATAATACATATAAAGAAGAAAATTGTTTTAGATATTACAAAATAAATAAATAAATGGATAAATAAAAAATACGTGTTTTTCTTCACATAAGTTATTAGCAACAATGCCTACGTCATAGCAGAAGGCGTGACGTCATCGTTTGCACTCGCTCACGCCCCGCCTTGTTCCTCCGCAGGGACTGGAGCTCAGGTACCGCTTCACCATGACCAATGGCTACGACTACTGGCACAAACACTTCTCGGCCGATGAATTCTGTGAGTTTGGTGGAGTCTTTATGTGTAGTTTAGATATTGTTAATTTTTTATATGTATTTTTTAGATTTTTTTTTTTTTTTGGGGGGGATTTTGATTGATTGATGTGGGTTTTTTACAATTCTTTTGATTTATGTTGGGGAGTGAGTGGTTGGGGAGTTGATTGGAATTCACACGCACACACACACGCACTCATACTCACACTCACACTTACACTCACTCTTACACTCTTACACGCACACACACACATACACACACTCACACTCACACTCACACTCACTCAACTCACTCACTCACACACTCACACTCACACTCACACTCACACTCACACACACACACACACACACACACACACACACACACCCACACACACAACACACACACACACACACACACACACACACACACACACCACACACACACACACCACACACACACACACACACACACACACACACACACACACAACACACACACACACACACACACACACACACAACACACACACACACACACACACATCACACACACACACACACACACACACACACACACACACACACCACACACACGCACACACACAACACACACACACACACAACACACACACACACACACACACACACACACCACACACACACACACACACACACACACACACACACACACACACACACACACACACACACACACACACACACACACACACACACACACACACACACACACACACACAGTCATATATTCGCGTCCGTGTGTTGACTGATATCTGTCAATATATCTAAAGTTAAAATCAGATCCAAGGCTAGAAAAATAATGGCTGAAAATATACTTCGGTGACAAAGATATCTTTATTTAATTTATAACATTTAATAACTAATTATTTTACACACACGCTCCTTTGGAGAAATAAATGCGGTTTTTATGCAGCTGTTTTGTTGTATATCTGTTTAACATAATAAGTTTTCAGCAAGATTTTAGTGAATTATTTTTCGTTGGGTATGATTTATTCTAACAACTGTAGAATATATATGAGTGAAAATTAATATTTAGTGAAGTACGTTTTCATTCATACTTGTTCTACGTTTTTCATTATTTTTTATATTTTTTTTTATTATTTTTATTATAGTGCTCTACTAATTTCTCCCAATTTTTAATGTAAATAATTGACGATATTTCTGAATCAGAATTCATCCGTAATGTTGTCTAATTACAAAAAAACACTGATTTTTCTCTCCCTTTTTAATCAGGAATTTTGAGAATCAGTTCACATTTTATTTCCCTCGAATATTAAACACACAATTATTTTCCTTTTCTTTTTTTTTTACAGATATTTTAAGGACTGATTTGACGGCCCTCATTCTACAGCTCGGCATTCTCTTCCTCTCTCTTCTGGCAGCCTGTTAGTTATATTTAGAATCTTGTGATATATTTCGTGTTTATTGTTATTGTTGTTATTGTTTTGAATTTCTTGTCATTTTAATCAGTAGGTGTTATCGTTGTATCTTTTGGAATAATGTGTGTAGTTTATTTCTTCTTTGTTTTGGTATATGTGTATAATTGGTGAAAAGTTATTATGACAGTTGGTTTTAATACTACGTTACTTATGTCTTTTTATCCGTTTCTCTCTCTCACTCTCTTTCTCTCTCTCTCTGTCTCTGTCTCTGTCTCTGTCTCTCTATCTCTGTGTCTGTCTCTCTATGTCTGTCTGTCTGTCCTCTCTCTCTCTCTCTCTCTCCTCCTCTCTCTCTCTCTCTCTCTCTCTCTCTCTCTCTCTCTCTCTCTCTCTCTCTCTCTCTCTTCTCTCTCTCTCTCTCTCTCTCTCTCTCTCTCTCTCTCTCTATTGATCTTTCTCCGCCCTTTCTTACACCTTCTTTCCTGCTTCTCTTCCCGTTACCTTCCTCATTCTCCCCTCTCCCTTTATCTCCCCTTCGTTCTCCTCTACATTAACAAATCCCCCTCATCTTCTCTCGTCTATCTCTTCTTATTCTCTTTCCTCTCCTTCCTTTCTTCTCCCTCCTTTACTCCCATCTCCACCTTCTCCTTTTCTCTGCCTCTTCCCACGCTCTCTTCTCCCTCCCCTACTCTACTCATCTCTCCCTTTCTACCCATATCTCCCCCATTCCTTCTCATTTCTTCTTCCTACTCCTACCACCTCTCCATTTTTCTTCCCCGCCCTTCTCCCTCCTTCTTTCCTCAATTTCTTCTCCTTCGTCATTTTCCTCTTCTCCTCTCTCCCTTTCTTTTTTTAACAATTTCTCTTCCCACCTCTCCTTCCCACTCCCCTCTCCACCTTTCCTTCCTCTGTCTGTTCACCCTCACTCTCTCCTCCCTCCCTTTCCACTCCTATTCCCATCTCTTCCCATCTTCCTCCACCCCTCCTTCCTCCTTCCCTCCCTTCTCTCCTTCCTCCTCTCTGTCTTTCTCTCTCCTTCTCTCCTCTATTCCTCCTCCTCTCTCACCCCTCATCCCATCTCTCCTTCCCTCTCCACCCCTTCTTCCTCCTTCCCCGTTCTTCTCCGTTCTCCTTTCCTCTGTTCCTTCTTCTTCACCCTCTTCTTCTCCCTCCTTTTCCATCCATTTTCCCACTCCCTCTTCCACCCCTTCTTCCTCCTTCCTCCTTCCCTGTTATTACCTCTCCTTCTTTCCTCTATTCCTTCTCCTTCCTCACCATCCTCTTCTTCTCACTCCTTTTCCACCCCTTCTTCCTCCTTCCTCCTTCCTGTTCTCCCCCCCCCTCCTTCTCTTCTCGACCGAACAGCTGAGCTCAAGAACCGTCAGCTGTTCCACTCGACGTACAGGCTGTACATGACCGCCGTGGTGCTGCAGGTTAGCGGGCTGGCCTTCCTCAGCCTGCACTACGGGAGGTATGGGTACAACGGCGTCGGGTTTGGAGAACTCCAAGTTGCTTGGTGAGTGGGGGTGGGGGGTAGGTTGGGGATGGGGGGGGAGGGAGGGAGGAGGAGAGAGGGTGGGGGTGGGTTGGGAATGGGGGGAGGTGGAGAGAGGGTGGAGTGGGGGAGGGGTGGGTTGGGGTGGGGGAGGGAGGAGGTGAGAGAGGGTGGGTTAGGGTGGAGAGAAAGGGTGGGGATGGCGAAGAGGGTGGGATGGGGGATGGGAGAGGGGTGGGGAGGGGATGGGGGAGAGAGGGTAGGGGTGGGGGAGGGGAGAGTCGATGATGGTGGATTAGGGTGAAGGGAAAGGGTGGGGGTGGGAATGGGGTGGAGAGAAGGTGGGGTGGGGGAGAGGAGAGAGGATGAGAGTTGGATGGGGTGAGGAGAAAGGTCAGGGATGGAGGGGGAGGAGAGAGGTGGGGTGGGGGTTAGGAGGAGAGAGGGTGGGGATGGGTTAGGTGGAGAGAAAGGGTGGGGATGGAGAGAGAGGGAGGAGGGAATAGGGTAGAGGTGGGCTAGAGTGGGGAGAGAGGGTGGAGGAAATAGGATGGGGGGATGGAGAGGTAGAGAGAGGGTAGTGGTAGAGGGGGAGGATTTTTTTTTCTTTTTTTTTTTAAGAAAATGGTAAGCATAATAGAAAAGAAGACAAAAGAAATATGAATGAAACAGGAAGTAATTAAAAAATGGAGCATTGGCATTATTATCATGTTTATTATTATTATTAGCTTTATTATTGTTAGCATTAGTAGCTGTATCATTCTCGATGTTGCTATAATAGTAAACATTCATGCAAAAATATTACAAAAAGAGATTAGAATAGATTTGATGACAATATAATCCTGACTCACTCTTTCTCTCTCTCTCTCTCTCTCTCTCTCTCTCTCTCTCTCTCTCTCTCTCTCTCTCTCTCTCTCTCTCTCTCTCTCTCTCTCTCTCTCTCTCTCTCTCTCTCTCTCTCCCTTCTTTCTTCCTTCCTTATTTCCCTCCTTCCTTCCTTATTTCCCTCCTTCCTTCCCTCCCTCCTCCTTCCCTCCCTTCCTTCCTTCACCACGTACCTCATCCTACATCCTCCCTTTCTTTTCCATCTCCTTTCCCCGCTCCCTCTTCCATTATCTCCCTTTCACCTCCCGTTTATCCTCATTTCTCCTCACTTATCTTTTATTCCATTTTCTTCTCCCTTTCTGCCCCCGATCTCTTCCGCTTTCCTTTTTTAACTTTCTCTCCCCTTACCGCTTCTGTTCCTTCTGTCTTCACTTCCGCTTTCTTATACATTGCCCTTTCCTCCTTCCTCTCACTCTGCTTATCCCTCCTTTTTCTTTCCATTTTTCCTGTTTCATTCCTCTTCATCTTTTCTTCCTTTTCTCTTTTTCCCTTCTCACCCTTCCTCTCCCTCTCCCTTTTCCTTTTCTTTCCCCTTTGCCTCTCCTCCCTCCTTCCTCTCACTCTCCCCCCTTTGCTTCTTCCTCTCTCTCCCTCACTTTTTACTCTCTTCCTCTCTCCCTTATCTCCTTTCCCTCTTCCTCTCCCCCTCCCCTCCATTCTATCTCCCTTTCTC